CAAAAAAATAAAATAAAAAAAAATCCTGGGATGTTTTTTGGCTCGCCTGGCTTTGCCGGACGGAACCCCCCCAGTCCGTCCAGACCGGGCGTCGGCCTAACCCAGAAATAAACCAGAAAAACGAAATAAATTGCAAACTGCAGTCATAAAAAAAAAGCAGAAAAAAAATAAAAATGAATAATAAAAAATGATAAAAGTCGCAATTTGCAGCAATCGAGGGGGGGGGGGAAACCTGTCCGAGTTGACAACCGGCTAAGGAAAAAGTTAAAAAAAAAAAAAAAAAGCCTCTGGGGAAAGACATGGTAGTGCTTTGGGGGGGGGTAGAAGGCCCTCATGAGACTCCCACAAGACAACCCAAAAAATGTCGAGAAGCGAGTCATCAAAATTTCAAACCGTCAAAATTTCAAAGTTCTTTCTTGATCAAAATCCTCTAGACCATGGCAGTCCCACAAGACAAAAAAAAAAAAAAAAGTTGAAAAGCAAGTCGTCAAAAATTCAAACCGCCAAAATTTCAAAATTCTTTCTTGATCAAAATTCTCTAGAGCATGAGAGTCCCACAAGACAAAGAAAAACCGTTGAAAAAAGAAAGCCATCAAAATTTCCAACTGCCAAAATTTTCAAACTGTCAAAATTTCACACTGTCAAAATTTCAAATTTCTTCTTAATCAAAATGCCCTGGAGCACGAGAGTCCCAGAAGAAAAAAAAAAGAAAGAAAGAAAGAAAAAAAAGACGTCGAAAAGAAAGCCACGAAAATTTCAAACTTCTTCTTGAACGAAACTCTCTAGATTATCTACTTCGCAATAAGCAGACAACACAACAAGCTTCTCAATCGATACACGACTTGAAATCTCTCCGCCGCTCCGATGCGCAACTTCATAACGGACATCGATGCTTTTCCCATTTTCACACCACACCAGTTCCGCTGCCGGAGCGAACCACAGTCTCACCGACGATTGTGCCTTGCCTTCACCGCATCCCGTCTGCACTCGCATTTTCTGCTCTCTCTTGTGTGATGCTCTCATCAATGGTTTCCAAGTCATGTAGCTTCCGACGATGCTACCGACGGGGAAGAAAATGGAAGGCCAGAAAAAGGGACGATCCCGCTCATCGAACAACGAGTACCAATCCGTCTGCAAAGCTTGTTCAGTTATCGAGTCACCTTGTAGTTCTGCAAATACAATGCACCAGAAAAGTCATAATGAGGAAGCAACAGAGAGAGGGAGGGAGGGAGGGAGGGAGAGGGCAAGATAGGTCGAGAGAGAGGGAGAGAGAGGGAGAGAGCAAGATAGGTCGAGAGAGAGAGAGAGAGAGAGAGAGAGAGAGAGAGAGAGAGAGAGAGAGAGAGAGAGAGAGAGAGAGAGAGTCTGTGTGTCACTTAATGTACCCCTTTATCCAACGTAATCTCCCAGCACGTGCTGCTCTCCACGAGTAGACTGGAGCACTTGTTCAAAATAATAATAATAATAATAATAAAATAAAATCTCTAGCAATGCCTAGAACTCAATAAGCATCAAAAGTACCAGGGGAACAAGGAGCACCCGAAGTACTGCCAGTAAGGAGTACCAAGAGTATCAAAAACCGGATGTACAACGAATACACACCAATAAGCAGTCCTCGTACAGACCACGCAAGGCACAGGAAGCGTTGGGTGCAGTACCGGGACCATGGGGAGCCCTGCCTGTAGCGACACCCATGCAAAGGAGCATTTTAGGTTTAGGGTTGAGGACATCTTTTCATTGCTCCTGTACGCAAGGGTCGCTTCACCGGAATGACCGTGAACTCCTTAGATATCTCTATTCTGGGCTACCAAGACCTGCACGGGCCCGGCCGCCCGGCCTGGCGGCCGGGCCAGTGCTACTTCGACCCTCTTGCCCGGGTCACCCGGGCAAATAAGAAAACTAGTCAAAACTTTTTTTTTTTTTCTTCCCTGATCTGGGGCATTTTTGCGCCCTCCGAGAGGGACCCAAATCCGGTCTTTTTTTTTTTTTGGTTCATGTCGTTTTGG